TTTCAGTTGCAGAGCGCCGTTAAACAGCTGCTTTATGTCTGGTATTTATGCAGACAAAAAGAAGTTGAAGCCGATCTCCTTGGTGAGGGATTCCACAAGGCCCTTTCAGCGACGACAAAAAATAAAGACAGGTTCCCATCGGAATATTTAATTGAGCCTTAGAATAAACGTTAGGGATTGCTGCTGATTTTCAATGTCATGCCTTTTGAACTGAATTAATTAAAAACGTGAATATTACGCACTGGCCTGTTTAATTATATTAAAATAAAAACATTATATTTCCCTTCCTTAATCTAGAAAACCCAGTTAGTTGATTGTGAAAATAAGGTAAATAGTTTTAGGTTACTATCTTTTAGTTGTATGATTCTGTTTGCTATATCGGTAATTGCAGTTTCCTGACGCACAGCCGAGCGCGATGATGCCCGACGAACCAGCCCACTGTCTTGTTAGCTGTGGAGATGTGACTAGATAGCTTCAGATGAGCTCGGCCACTGGGAATTACAACAAATCGCTTCGTGCATGCAGGTACTGAAACAAACGAGCAGCTCCTTTGTTCCATTCATGAACTTCGATGGCCACGAGTTTTTGAAGTAATATTCGTAAAGGAGACTGGCGATTAGGATTCGAGGTTTTTGGCTGACTTCTGAGCTGTAGCGCCGCGTAGCTTGGGTGACTGGTGATTGCTTCAACAATTTCACACCTCACTCATGAGCTGCTATGTTCACACTGATTAACACATTACTAACAAGTTAGTTTGTAATTTACGTATTCGCTGGAAACCGATAAATCATGGTAGCTGTTAGAATTGTTTCGAATGGCCCGTTGAAAAAAATGTGAGAAGAATAGATAATGACTTACATTAAAATCAATTTTTAAGGAAAAGGTAACCCCACTGTGAGTATGACCGGTCACAGTGCGAAGGCATTGTTCAGGTAAGCCCCCTACTCGACTTCCAACTCACGCACTGTATTTCCCATGCCATCAACCATGTTCTATTCCACGAAAACTCCGTGATCTGCCAATTCGATTACGTAAATATTGTACAGGCCGACCTGTATAGTTATTCAGTGACTTTCAACATGGACTCAAAAACATGGTTAGAAATAATAGAGGATAGAGCACGTTAAATTTTAACCAAACACTTTCTGAATGCGATAACGATTACATTAGAAAGCCCCCTCTTTCTCCGTTGTGTATTTTCTTCGCAATACGTGAGATTTGAGGTTCTCACGGCTGTCAAAATATCGATTTTGATCTTCTGAGTTATGACGCTTTGTTGTCTTATCGATAGTAAAGATGTTTCGCAGAAACATCTTTCTCTGTTGTCGGGGTAGAGAAATGTCTCCATCTTCAGGAATCTGCAGATGAAGACAGTATGTTTCTCCAAAACGTCGGTTATCTACTTGGAAGTCAACATGACTTTATAAACCACAAGTCCAATACGTTCTTGGTAACAGTCCGCAGACTAAGGACAAATGGATCACGCGCCGTAGTGATATTTATCATTCGCCTTGCTAGACTTAACGGAACTGAACAGCAATTGTAAGGCGGTCTTATTCCTCTGGAACTTTATTTTGATATCAAAGTAAGCTAAGGACACGTCTGTTAGAGTACGAACATTTACAATCAATGTCCGACCCTCAACTGTGAGCCTCGGTTAAGTAAATAAACGTAAAGCTAAAGTAGACACTTGTACATGAGTAATGTCCTGTTCGATCTTGTCGGTGCCGGATGCCATGACTAAGGTTAGGGCTGTCGTGTTCTATCTCTGTCCGCAGGACGCTTTGAACTGATGAGGGCAAAGATTCGAATCGAAACAATAATAATTAACCTTGATACTGAAAGATAGCTTAGGCCAACAGTGTTAAATTTATAACAAATGAATGGCTTATAAACGAAAGTTATTGACTAACATGTGAAACACTTTGCAATAGTAACATAATTAAAGACTATTTTCGTTACACTATCATTGTGTTTTAATAAAATATATTCGTGTATACCTTGCACATCCCAGGGTTGCGAAACGCTGAGATCTCAGAGGAAATTAGTTCGAAGCAAAGACTATGGAAAGAAGAATTTCTGTCAGACTGAGACAGATTTTACACAGTTTTCGAGTGTTGCTTGTATCATGTTCTCGGGACGAGCAGTGATTTTTATGAGAAATGCATCACACTCTTAAGTAATGCGCTTGACAGAGTCTGAACTCAAGTGGGACGTGCATGTTAGTCTGCACGGAAATGCCTCATAGACATATACAAAGACAAAAACATATTTTGAAAACAAACACTCAATATTCATATAGCCTATAATTTAGTCATATATAAAATAAGTATAAAAAAATTTCTGTACAGAAACAATAGATGGAGAAAAATTAAAAACATCACAATTTGGTCGTAGATATTCTCAAAGATACGCGCATGTCCAATAGTCTATTTTATAATACACCAACTGTCTTGTGAATGTGGTGAGGACTACATAATGTGAAGCTAGTATTATGCAACCTACGACAGTAGCTTGCTGCTTGGTTTCTTAGTCACGAACTCATCCGTGTTCTTTTCACATAAAACTGCTGTTCTCTGTCGTTCGTTTACGTAAATGTTATAATGGCCAACATATGTGTCAGTATTCGGCAGTTTCGAAATTGTATATCACCACCAACATAGACTCGAATATATGGTCAGTTGTTTGCAGGGTTGATTTTACAGACCTAATAACATTTCTTCAACAGTACAGAGTATGGAGCTTCTCATCATGCAATTTTCTCTCTCTTCTTGTCATTTAATCTGTCCTACATACGGACATTCTCATCAGCATCCTCTTCTCAAATACGTCCATTCTGTGTTCTTCTCTTAGGCGTAGACGTGAGGCACCAAGTTTCACACCCTTACAAAAAATCAGGTAAATTTATAGTTCTGTATACTTCAGTATTACTTTTTAGAAGGGTTGAGGGAAGACAACAGGTTCTGAACTGCAAGAGTTCCCAAAACCAGTCTAAACACAATTCCTCGCCAATCCAATTTTCATATATTAGTGTCGTTCCCAAATACCTGAACTTTACGACATTTTCGAACAGTCTGTTATGTACAGTGCCATACCTTTGTATTATGATTTTGTCTCGCAGTCCATTGACAATGCAACAACATGAACGACAGTTTTGAAGGACACGAAGAGGATGGTACTACAAGGTTCAACTGGATCATGCACAAAGAGGTTGTGAGAGTGGGGGGTGGCTGAAAAGTGGTCACAATCATGCCCAGTGGCGTGCTTTGGTAAGATCAGTGTTGGACCTTCGGGTTTTGCTAACAGATAATTATTACATTTCATTAGACTTATAAAACATACAAATTTCTCATTTTAGTAATTCAGAATAATTTGTCTTCAGCTATTAGAGATTTTTGACATCTATATTCTTTTTTTAGGTATGTTTGAATTATTCGCGGACGTGAGATTTCACTTGTGATCTTCTATGTCTTCTGCTCTGAAGATAGAGGCTTAATGTTCTTCTGAAACAATGGTGACGGCCTACAAGAATATACAACATCACAATTATATTTTTTATTGTGTCCTACAAAATATAACAGAAACTTATTTGTGTTTATTTAAATTTCAAAGATCCTTCGTGAAACTCTCTCACACATTAAAATACACTGATGGTTTTTGGTAACAGAGTTCTAAAGATAATATTTGTTAAGAAGTAACAGGAACACAGAAAATATTCCCTGATGATTCATAATACATAATCTGCACTAAATATTATTAAAGTGGTCAAACCAAGGAGTATGAGGTAAATGGGGTATGTAGCATGCACGAGTGAGAGGATAAATGCATACAAAGTTGAAGTCGCTAGGCCTGCAGGTAGTAGACCATTCTGAAGAATTACGCGTAGATGAAATGATAATATTAAAAGGCATTTTTAACAAGAAACTCGGCTCAGGACATGGATTAATCACGGGTTTTTGCGAAGAAGATAATGAATTTACGGGATCCATTAAAAACCAGAATCTCCTGACTAGCTCAGCGACGATAAACTTTTCAAGGCCTCTGTCACGTGGAGCTAGTCAGTCTTGGTAGAACTGCTCAGGTCTTAAAACTTCCCTCAGTTGCTTTCTCATTTACAGTGATTTGAAAAGTTCTACACTTTTGTTTGCGATAAAGCATTATCATTTTGTAATCCTTTCCCTTCCCGCCCCCATTCCGTCCATAGCATCCTGTTTAGTCGTTATGTAGCCTGTTAGGAACAAACGTATAATTCTATTGTTCCATGCAATAGCAAACTTCGCTCGGCTGAACACGTGATTGACACCTTATGCCACGCGCTGTTTGCGTGATTGCATATTCCCATACAAGATATTTCCTCAAAAACGGAACACAGCGTTCCTAAGACAGAAGACGCTCAAGCAACCGGAAACCTTGATTCCTTGCAGCTAACTTGAAGATGCCTGTCAGTTACCACAACAAACAAATTTTGTTTCTTGTATCGCTACATAGATCAGACAAACACTGTATCATCCACAGGCATCTAACCCCATTCACCGACTAATCGTGTTTTATGATGCTTGTTTACAACGGTAGGTTTACTGGTAGCTGCAGAAAACATAATGCTACTTCGTTAGAAGACAACAAATCGAATATGCCGACTAGCAGTTTATTTAGACACATAAGGACGAGAAGAAAGCATGGAAGAGTTGAGAAATGTAGCCTATAAAATTTTTATACGAAAATATTAATATGAAAATTATGCCAAACAAATATTGTGGTCTTATTCATCATAAGACGAGAAGATCACAATATAAATTTGACAAAATATTGACTTCTTGTCTTACCCTGATCAGTGTGAATTTACAGTATAAGGGTTTTATTTCACTTCATTCTGAGATTGACTTTCAGGAAATGTAATATAGACCTATATGATCATAATATAAAGTGCATGTTTCTAAGGTAAATAAAAGTTACATAATATGATTTAAATTTAACTTTTATATAATAACAGTGTGGTACTAGAGGCAGTTCTTTAATATTTTCAGTGTAAATAATAGATATTAGTCACTTCTTAGAACAAGACTATAAATAATGAAATACTGTTTAAAGAGAAGTTTAGTATATAAAAATACTTTTTTTTCAGTCCTGCAGATGAAACCAGAAGTTTCATTAGTCTACTAAGAATAGTTCATCACTAAAGCGGAGCCAATACAAACGTGTCCTATTTATTTAAGACCCATGTTAATATTATCCTTCTATCTACGTCTAGGTCTCTTAACTGGTCCCGTCCCTTGAGGTTTATCAACTAAAATTTTGTATTCATTTCAACCATACTTGTTTCATGTTCCATCCGTCAGGTTATCATCGTTGATATGGTCACCTTAATAAAAATAATAAAATCTTGTTACGAATTAGATATTTGTGAAATTGTTGCCTTCTTCCGTTATTTCTAATTTCTTAGATCTAAATACGCACATTGGCACGTGCATTTTGCACCCTCAACGTATGTTCTTATCTTACAATACGACTCCAAGTGTCATCTAAGAGAAGGTAAAATGCCGATTGCGGGAATTTTAACATTTAGGGCTGTGATAAATTATTATTATTATTGTTATTGTTATAACCACCATCTACATCTGTGGTTGTCTATATAGTCGTTAATAAAGAATTCTATAAACTATTATTATCTTATTGCATGATAGTGTTCAGAGATCCCACGATATGTGACTACGAAGGTCATGAAATTTCCTATTCTCGTAAATTGCCGAGCCACGGATCGGTTATAAGCGTCACCACCCATTACGTCTTCTTTCTGTTAAGAGTCATTTCTTTTTTATTTAATGAAAGTCATTCAGCTACTATCTCTTAACACTTTGCAGATGTATGGTCATTGTTAGCAATCATATAAATGTGCCTAGTCATCATTACTATCAAGAAGAAGAAGAAGAAGAAGGGGGAAAAAAGGACTCTTGGGTTGCATCGTTGATTGTATTGTTACCCTATTGAGGAAGCCGACATCATTGGACAAGCCTCTTTTGATTTCTTCATTTCGTGGCTTAGTGCAATGATCTTGAACGAAAAAGGAAAGAGGAGAAAAAATCACTTATAATATTATCATCGAGGTTCAAACCTCTTGACGCCGATACGGACTTCTTAACCTGTGTAATCGGGGGTTACACGCCTGTTCGCATGAGACAGAGGAAGGGAGGCGATCCCAGCCTGTAAAAGGAACCGCGATTCTTAAGTGCGGCCGTAACAATACTCAGCACAATCAAACAATATGGAGACGTCACACGCGAACAGTAGACAGTCCGAGACCAGGCCTTATTGTTATTTTAAACACTAAAGTGGTTGAGAATAGATTCCCAGTCTTCCATCTCCTTTTCTTTCTTCATAAAAGCATTTTTAAATTTCTTACTGAGTATAAGAGGAAATGTTACACGTGAAAGAATGAAGTACTGCAAGTCTACGGTGGTTTTGTAATTGAGTTTGGGGTTCATAAAAACCGAATTCGCGATAATTTGTGGAAAGGGCGGTAAGTAACAATAATATTAAACCGGATCTATAGTACTCAAGTACAAAAGAGGTGTAATGATATCTGCAGTTAATAGGTTCGAATGCACCGTGAAAGGAACGCTTCTTTGTTATATTTTGCAAGTGAGTTTTTTTCCTTGTGGTTCTACAGTTCTTGAAGAACCTAGGTCAGTTCTTATTGGGATTTCGTAACAGTCTTTTTCGGAATTTGATAGGATTCTTTACACCATGTACCGTCTCAAGGCCTCTACCTATAACACGGAAAGACGAGAAGAAAAATCGATGCCTGGAGTGGGATTCGATCCCACAATCCAAGTGTCCTGGACCAGTTGTAACTTTCTGAAAATCTTTTCTGTTATTTCCTCTAAATTTGGGTCCAAGTCCGTTGATAAAGTAACTCATACCATTAACACAAATACCCATACGTGTCTATAAGAAACGTAATTTAAATCTGAATAATTTTTCGATTTGGAAATAATACATTCAGTCATGCACGCACACCTTTATTGACTAACAATAATTATTTTATTGTCTACAATAAAGTGCAGAACTTAATTATATTCACTCAGGAATCTTTGTGTAATAACTCGTCTATGGGCTTTGGTTATATCACGTTTCTTCTTATATGCACTGAGCGTAAAACGCCCAAATTTCGCACAAGAATTTACCAGGGTCATCAGGTTTCCAGATTACGTATTTCAGCAATCTAAGAAAGACAAATACGTTCTTGGACTATTAAGAGTTTATCGGAGGGGAAGATACCGCTTGAGAGATTTATGCCTAGATGGTAGGATAATATTAAAATGAATCTTAAAGAACTGGTTTTGAGGAAGTGAACTGGATTCATATGATTCAAATGGGATCCAGTGGTGGGTTCTACTAAACTCTGTACTTAATCTTTGAAGAAAATAACAATAGTATACAAGATTTTACACAGGAAACACGAAGTCGAAGAAATAACTTCGGAGACTTGAACTCAGAATGATAATATTAATATTAAGTGGATCTTTAAGAAACATGGCGTGAGTTTGTGGACATTCGCAGTAAAGTAGGCTGTATTTCAGCAGTAACAATATTATGTTTCAGATGCTTCTTATCTGAATATGTCTGCAACATACTAGGTATCATAACACGATAGATGATGACCTACCACGATCATAATACGTTAATATTATCACGTCTGCTGCTAATCAGGCGTTCATGAAAGGACAGCATTCTCTGGATTCTTATGGTTGGCATATTAAAATTTTACGTACTCTGAAAGGAAATCAGACAAAACAAAAATAGCCTGTTCATGGAAACAGTAATGAGGGGTTGTGGGGCAGCGGACAGTCTGTCAATCACGCTTAGTTCCGAAACATACCACCAACACTGTACAGCAGCAAATATGTTGGATCGAAATGGAATAAAAACAAAAACGACAGTTGCTTTGCGCTACAGGTGGGCAGATAATAACCCTAGGTAAAGGCGGAGCTTGTCTCAACAGCAAGGCATCATGGGTGTACGGTAATGGCGTTTTCTGATTGGCTAACCCGTTATAGAAAATCCTCTAGTCAACCTTCCCCTTTCGCATCACCTTTTTTATTTCAATTGCATTTGGGATTTTTTATTTATATCTATAATATGTTTCGTACGGTGCCATGTGACGTGTTGTTCTGAGGGACAATTGGCAGAGAGCGTTTCTTTAAAACAGACTTCCCAAGATACAGAATTTATCTCCATGTACCATATTCTGTGGCCAATGAGGGAATAAATACTACCTTTTTCCAAGGAGCCCTTGCAAGTTAATGGTCATAGTTACTGGCTTTGCAGCCCACTACTGTTAAAGTGGTTTCATAGATTGCTTGCCACTTAATGACAGTAATTTGTAATGTTCCCTAGGCTATGGGTGTAACTGGGTTGGTAGGCCGCATGAGAACCAAGGAAGGCAATTGTTGGTTTTCAAAATAAAAACACACGGAAAATAATGCCCTCATTGGTCTTCTACCCCTATAACGTCTTGTGGACTTGTAGGTATATACCAACGTTTCGGTGGAACTAACAGCCTCCACGTCAAGGCGTTCTCACAACTGAGCTATTGAACGGCCTATAAGAGAAAACGCACATAAAAACATATAGCATAAAGAATAGTCTACCCTGTACACGACTCCATAGAACAGACAATTCTTGATAAGCTAATCATGAAATTCTATACCTTTTATGGAAGTTGAAGTTTCATCAGTATTCACATTCTATTACGTTATCTCTCCAAAATCTTATTTAATATTATCTTCGCATCTACGCTTAGATCTCGCAAGTGGCGTTTTAGTTTCAAGATTTCCAACTAAAATGTCACATGTCCTCTGCGTGCTATATGCTCCGCACATCTCTGCAATTATTTATCTACGGTTTAATTAACGACCCTCTCAGTAGCTTAGTTTGTGTAGCGTCGAATGACTAAGATGTGGGTATTGTGTACGGTAGCATACTATCTCGGCATTAGCGTACCTGGAAGAACTGAAGAACACCACGGTCAGGGTCGTAGGCCTCAGAGCCAAGAACCCAGAACCTCCCGAACACGGATCAGGAGTGCCAAACTCGGCCACGATGTTCGGCGACTACGATGGCATCGGTGAAGTGTGTAAATGATTACGTATCTTGGAAAGGATTGTTATGACCTTAAACATTAGAAATAAGAAGCAAATAAGGAATTTCGGGCCTGTTCCATGTCTACAAATGTGGTGATCAGTAGAAGCATCTTACAAAGTAAAAGTTCATGGTAGAATATAAAGGAAGAGAAGGGAGTTAAGTCTAGTTGCGGATTATGTCATTTAGTGTGCTGACATCAGGATGGGTGTGAGGAAAATCGTGAAAATATTCCTGAATAGTCGATGTACCGACTGAAATTCGAGCTGGATACTGAAACGAGTCGTATAAATAGGTGTGCGTGGCTGAAGTACATTTGGTCGCAATGAAAGCGAAACATCAGGGCGATTTCCACTCTTTATAATTCGCGTCGAATCAATATAAGGATATTGCCTGAAATATGTGTTTTTGTAAAGCAGCTAATCGGACTTAAATCGACGTTGTATCCGAACCACGCCTAGACAGAATATATTTTATGTTTTACTGTGTGGTTTCATATTCTGTATTCACAATTCCATTTATGACATACTTTTCAGATAAACTGTGATGTAAATTCAATATTCCTAATTATGTTCCACTACTTTCAAAATATGATCAACTTTAAACATACGAATC